ATTGTATATTGTATTTTAATGCACCAAAAAAGTATAACATATAAACATCCCCAGTTGTGGCGGGCACTCAGGGCAGCGCAGAAGGAGAGCTGTGCTGAGCAAACATGCAGCTGCACAGAGAAGAGCCTGAACAGCAGGCTGGAATTGCATTCGCTCTTTGAGTTTCCATACTGCAGAAGCCAGCCTTAGCACCAGCGAGGAATCTGGTTCATTACAGTGATTTTAATCAAACAGCCTCCTTCTAATGAGTCCTGTGGTGTGTGCCAGCCAGGACGATCATAGAATCATAGAACCCTTTAGGTTGGAAAAGACCTTTAAGATCATCGAGTCCAACCGTTAACCTAACACTGCCAAGTCCACCACTAAACCATGTCCTTAAGCACCACATCTACACATCTTTTAAATCCCTCCAGGGACAGTGACTCAACCTCTTCCCTGGGCAGCCTGTTCCAGTGCTTGACAACTCTTTCAGTGAAGAGATTTTTCCTAATACCCAATCTAAACCTGATGATGCTCTGTAAAGAGTTTTTCTGCAGCAATTACTCATCCTGTTGATCATGGAGCTGCAAAGGCAGTTTTCATCAGCCTGAGGGCTCCAACTAATTCCTGCAGTGAACGCAAAACCAAGTCAAACCAATGCCCAGTATAACTCCACTACCTTCAAAAGAGAAAATTACCTTGCTTCATTAAACTACAACAAAAAAGTAGTAACTAAAGGAACTGCAGAGCCGGTTATCAAACCAGCATGGCGGAGCACGTTTGTTCCCGACCAGGTGATCGCGCAAAACACAAAGGCGAGTAAGTGAGGTGGAAAGCCAGGGGGACTTGGTGCCTTCTACCCATCACAAACAGCCATAGGTTTCTCAGAGCTCAAAAGCTGTATGACTCTTACAACTGAAAGCTTTTAATGCTGAATAAAACCAAACAGACCTAAAGCTTTACTCTGAGTGTTTCAGAAGATGAGCTAATAGTCATCTGCCAGGTTGCAGATGGGAGAAAGGGGCTCGGGAACATTAAGTAACTTGGCAAGGTACACAGGATGGCATCAGCAAAGAGAGGAAGACCTCCAGTCTCCTCTTCTTCCTCTACCACTTCTCTGTTCAGCCGGGCATTGGATGCTCCAGGCAGCACTCTCAACACAGGGTCTCCACTTCACTCTCGGCTGTGGCCATGCAGCATGTAGAAAAGCAGCAGAGCAGCATATACCATTAGAAGACTCTGCAAATGTATACAAGCCCGATCCTGAAAACCTTTACCTTCCAGAGCTTGTCTTGCCAGCTCTTAAAACTGGGTTTAGTGGTGCCAAACAAGAACAGTTCTTTCCATAATGATCTTCAGGCCTGATCAGAGGCTGGAGACAACTAACTCCCAGGCCTTTCTGCAGCAGTTTGACCTCCTTCTCTCTGCAGAAGGTGCCTGAAAACACTCACCTGGCCCTGTTTCTGACCACATTGAGACTGTGATTGGAAAGCCAATAATGGCAAAGACTACAGAATGACTAGCTAAACAAACTTATTTGTGTTTGTAATTAAAACCAGTGATTATCTTGCTGCATTTGCCAACTGCATCTGAGAAACAGCCAACACTCACAACACGACCAGCTTTGTAAAACATCTCCTTTGACTTGGTGCTGGAGAGCCAGCCAACAGTGGTGAGTGATGAAAATCAATCAGGTTGCACCAAGAAGCAGCATAGGAAAAATTGCACATACCCCATTCTCCCAGAGCAGTCTGCTTGAAAAGAGCTCAGCACTGCCCTCAGTCTCCCCCACACTTGATATCATCTTCTTTGAGGTTGCTCTGAGCTAAAAGAGCACAACATGGCTCTGCGACAAGTTGGGAGGCACTGTGCACACAAGGCTCGTGTTGAACTCAGTGGACCCTGATCTTGTAAAACTTAAGGTTGTGCTTAACTCTAAGCTAATGCATACTCTCATGGACTTCATGTAACCATGCCAGCAGTTTTATTAAGATTTGGGTGAGATGTCTCAAGGTCCTGTAGGTGCACTGCATCATTAGAGAAAAAAAGGGATCAAGCCACAACATCCCATGGCTGACTGGCATTCAGGAAGGAAGATTTCAGCAGACACAGATAACGCAGAGAAACAGACATGTGAGCTGTTGTCTGCACCAGCTGCACCAAGCCTGACTGGGGTGTTAGATCTGAGTCTGTGCTCTTACTTTTTCTTCTGCTATGAATCTTTACCCACCGGAGAGCAAAACGGACTCCTGGCTGTCTGCTGAAAACAGTGTGGATGTTACCTTATTGAGGCTTCTGCAAAATTTTTGGGAAGTGAGAGAAAAGGAAGTCTTTAAAGCACATTAATGTCTAAGAAAACACAGATAGCAACAATATCTTTTAAAGAGAAGCTGAACCTAGAACACGTTTCCTCAGTCTATTTTAGAGTAGAACCTGTTTCAGGGAGAAAACAGAAACAAAAGCATTTTGGAATGACAGAAACCATAAGGAAGGTCTGTTGCTCTTAGACCAGAGAGCAGCAAGACATGCAGCTGGTTATAAAACCATGATACAGACCCATTCCTCCAAGAAAAAAAATCGGATAGCTCATATAACCAGATCCAACTATGCAGTCTCGAATGAAAATCCTGGAATTTTTTTGAATGAATGAAAATAATCTGCTCAGCAAGCGGATGAGCAAGTTATGTCATAAATGTGTAATAGCACATTCATCCTGTACTGATGAAATGCAGTTTGAGCTGGCAGCAAGATGGGGTCTTGTTTCCAGCAACCCTCCCTTTTTCTAACCATTAGGATCTTTGAGGTCTGCAAAGTCAGGCAGTGGACTGCTGACCCCTGCACTCAGGGCACATGTGACAAAACACAGCTGTCACCTAAGTCTCCACCAAGGCTAGACCAGGATTTAAAGATTCACAAATATCATCATAGCCTGTTCCTGCAGTTTTTTCAGAGGAGACCTGAATTCAGCTGTTGGAGAAGCAGCACAATGAAGTTGAACAATTCTGCCACCCCATGGGCACCGGGTAAAGTCTCAGCGAATTGATCTGGAGCAGCTGCTGGCAGGAAGGAGACAGGACCTACCCACCTTCCTGCGAGAGAAGCTTCATTTATCATCTACGCTGTGTCCACACTTGGGCCACACATTTTCGTCAGTCCTTGGCGGTGTTTCCCTCTGAGTACAGCAAAGGCTCTGCACAAGAGCCATTCTATTCTTGAGGTCTATCTAGTAATTTAATTACCAGATTCTTATTCTAAAAATTGTGTACAGAAGAGCAGCCCCAAGAGACCGAAGGACAGAGGAAGCTTTTGGGATCTCAGTATCTCAAGTCAGTGCTGCAGCATTTTTCAGTGGCCAGCAGAAAAGTATCAGCCTTTAAGCCCAGTCTCACTACATCCACCCCCAGGATTGCTCTGGCCAGTGATGGATGCACATGCCTGGCTTGCAAAAAGGCCAGACAGACCAAAGGTAGCCACAAAACCAATGATGTCCCAGCGATTATCTGTACATTCTCATCAAGTTCATTTGTAATGAACAGGGATAAAGTTTTATTTCCTCTTTCAGCACAAGAACCAAATACACAAAAGAAGAGGCTATCATACTGCTTGGTTAAGTATTTTATATTTTTAATGCAACTAAAAAAGCACAAGAATTAAGGATGCATTGCTATTCATGACTTCAGTGGGCTCCTGCTTGAACCCTGAATTGCACAATAAGCCCATGACCAAGCTGGGAGTAGAACCAGGAATCCTGAATTTTGCTTTAACCAATATAAAATGCATTCCCCACAAAATAAACTAACAAATTACATTACAAACTGCCACTAAATGCCCGCACACCAGAGACCACACAGCAACCAAACATACAACACTTCTGACCCACATGCTTGCAAGCAGGACAGCCACCGAATGCCAGGCTTCCCAGAGTGGGCTGCAGTCACAACAAATCCCCTGGGGGACACAGAAATGGCAAGGCCTGACACTTTCCTACTCCGTAAAGGAGCACCTTTGCTTTTCTGCTCTCTGACTTCATTTGCAGGGTAAAGACAGTCTGTGCCCTAACATCCACTTGCTGCTCCCAAAACCAAAAGGTTAACCAGACTTCCAATCAACTCCACTTTGTCCTAGTCTCAGTCTATCAGACTGAGACAGAAAACCCACTGCCACCGGCATCTCAGTTTTATATCTTTGCAACAGTAAGTCTCAACGCATAAAACAGGATGGAAACAACGAGATCGAACTCCAAGCAGCAGCACGAGTGACTTTGCTTTTACCTAAACCCTGGATAATTAAAGTAGGAAGTAGTAACAAGGAGAAGAGACCAAGCCTGCTGAACCACTGTTGTGTTTTTACACTTTATCTCTCAGATTGCAGTTTACAGGTTAGAGGGTAAGAGCTGTCTGCAACAGCTGGGTTTAGATTGAACAATCCACATAATTACTCAGAGCCCCATCAGGCCAGGGTCCCACCAAACTAGCTTTATCATTACTACTTCTGATCTCTGCACAATGTCAGCCAGAGAAGCCTGTCTCTTCTCCAGCAGGATATTTCAGCCCTTTCCTCCCCCTCGTATGAAGAAAGCGGCTCTACGCAACCCCAATATCAAAGGAGTCAAATTCCTGATGGTTAATACCCAGGAACGAGCACAGCTCTCCCCTACCCACCCTAGAAGCGTACCCCCCTTCCCAACCCAAAGCCCCAGCCTCAGAGCAGCAGCAGCAGAGAAAGAGACACTGCGATAACAGTTAAGTGCTGTGGCCAGAGCTGACGTGCAATTTTCCAGTTTCTTCCCAACAGGAAAAAACCACAAACCCTCTTTTATGCCTGCAGTTCATTAAACGCTCGTCTCAAAACTAAACTGATAAGAGAGAGAGAGCATCCCCAGTGTTTAGCTCTCTGCAGACCGTGCAGTCCCCTCCAGGCAAGTGTACATGCTCAAGTCCTGAGTGGGATCAGGACTCAGCTACACAGCAGACAATTAACAACAGTGGAAACAATGTTTAGAGCCAAATAGCTCTGCTTACCTCACATTTAATTTACGCTCTTCATCACTGCCAACCTCCAGCTGAGGGGAGAAAAGAAAGATACAGAGAAAGTTACATGCTGGTTGTTTCCATAATGCAACTTTTAAAAAAATCCCCACGCTTTTTAAAACCATCCCTGCAACAACAGGTTTTGAGTGGTTCTTTTCCACGGGGTTTTCTCTTTCTGGTGCCAGGGATAAATGAGACTCCCTGGCCATATATGCCATCAGCACCCAGTGCCGGGTGACAAAGGGGCTCACGGGGATTTTAAAGCTATTAGGTCCTAATCCTGCAAGCTGGTCCTAGAGCGCAGATCGGTTTGAAGATCACCAACCTCGACGTCACCAAGAGTGCACACACATCACTCCCACTGAGCACACACGTGAGAGCAGAACCTGTCCCAAGCAAAAGGCTGCTAACGAAGAGCTGGGCACAAATTAATGCTGTAATTCAGTGTGCAGCGACAGCACAAGTGCCCTCCAGTGGATGCAGCCCAAACTGCCCAGCTGGAACTGCCCCAGCCTCCAGCACCCAAACTCCAACCTGGAACTGATGTGCAGCCCCTCTGCCATCTCGGAGCTGCCACCTCGCCAATGAGGCCACCTCCACCTGGATGCTGGTAGATGATGTGTCCCGAGGCTAGGACGATGCCCGCCTGGTTGCTCAGCCATCCACAAGTCCTACGTCTGCAGCCTTGCTGATAAAGACACTGCTTTGATGGCAGGCATGTATTAAAACGGCCACTTTTTCACTGGTGGAAAGTCCTCCTGGAAGCAAATCTGGCTGCCCAGGTGACATTACTGGCCCTTACACTTTATTTACTCTCCTTAAAACAGAAGCGTGCTAGCTGACTTCAGCTTACTTTCAGAAAGAAATAATTTCACATAGCCGTGCTTTCCAGCCAGCCCCTTCAATTCCTCTATTAGCTTTTGGATAAAATTTCATATTAAAGAAAAACAGAGTTGGGACTAATTGCATCCAGAGCTACCCCCCAAAAAAAGGCTCAAAGATAATTCTCATCCTTTGGTCCCACATAAGTAGACAGAAGAGAAATGGCCAGGAGCATTCCCTCAGAGGGCAAGGTTGCACTGGGGAGATGGTTCGGACCCAAGAAGCAAAGCAGGGACCTTACCCATCGCCCTGCAATAGGAAAACCTTCAAACCTGCAACACACCAGAGCCTAATGAAGCTGGAGTGACACTTTTAAGAAATCATGCTCCATCAGTGCTAACACTCAGGGAACATTTTGTTATTTACTACAACATCGCTTAAAACCCACATCAAATAAGGCCACCGTAAGGGTTACTTGTTTCTGGGTCATTTTGTAGAAGTCAAAAATAAGCAAATAGTTCACATAAGATGTTCAAGCTTGAAGTTTTGTGTGCGCGTAGGACCTGGGGTGTTCCCCACCACTCCAAGTTGAGACTCAGGAGGCCAGAGCGCACAGGAGCTGCTCTGTTTACAATCTGCAAGAACCAAGTAATGCCAGGAAAAAAACCCCAAATGCAACTGCACAGGCCGGATATTAGAAATATAGCCATTTGGAGGAAAAAAAGATACACAAAGCCCATCCAAAATGACTGCAGCTGATGGCAAGAAACATACCATCGCTATTTTTAGTCTGTTTACACTGTGCAGTGGCAGCGCAGAGCCAGTCTGGCCAGGGCAGCAGGCAGAGCCCCAGGAACACCCTGAGCCCCAGTGCCCCCCACCAGCAGATCCCTCCAGCCCTGGGAAGGTCTAGCAGATTTTTGGCCTTTGTAAGGTCACCCTCCTGCTTGTTTGGGTCTGTCACATAGCAACAAGGGGGAGAAAAACTTTTTTATTTTTTAAACAAATGTGACTGTGAAGCCACGAGTGTCGTCAGCTGAGGCTTGGCAGCAGAGCTGGCCCCCAAATCTGCTGTGGGCTCATCTTTTGCAGAAGCTGACTTGCTTTCAAAGTCAACTCTCCTAGTATTTTCTATTAAAAAGCCACAGTAAACCCAAAACAAGGCAGAAGCACTCAGCGTTGTTGCTGTCTGCCTTGTTTTGGTCAGAGCATCCCTCTGAGCTGGCAGGTTTTACGATGCACCATGCACGAGATGCTGTGGACCCGCTGCTGCTCACCAGCGCCATGGATCCCACCACAGCACAGACACCAGTGCCGGGGCCAGACCTCCACCAGCTGTATCCACATCCCTCCCTGGGGACTGTGCAGAGCGTGGCCGGGCTTGAAGGACCTGGCATGGAGCGGGAGGTGGTGTGGAAGGGAGATGGCAGTGGAGCTAACAAGCGAAGTGCATGCAAGTTTGCAAGTGTGTATGAACTACTCTCTCCTAAGAATTTACGGCTTGCTACGTTAACGCAGCGGCAAGGCTCTCACAGGCAGCAGCATCCATTTTACAAATTCCTTCAGGCTCATGAGTTGAGAGGCTGCAGCAGCTTATTCACACTTAGCAAGGACATATGGGCATCATTTTCCATTAAAAAAAAAAATCTTCTAATAATTATTCAGATAGACTAAAAGCCCCAGAGAGCCCTGATTTTCCTTGTGAGAAAGATCATAAAAGATCAGGGACCACACTGGCCCTTTTTGATGGGATTTTTATTTGAAATTAACTTTGTAAAAACAACACGCTGAATTTGGAAAGGAACGGTTTATAGTTTTATGGTATTTCATTCTAGAAGGGACCATTCAAACAGAATAGGAGCTGATGTCTTCCTCCGGGAGCCATTGAAGTACACCTGAGCCACAGATGCTAGTGGCAGAAGTGCCCTGCCATGGACAATGCTAGGCAGCAAGTTTGGGGCAGCATTTTTGAGAGGGAAAGGGAGAATCATATGGTTGCCCCACTGAAAAAGTAATAACCAACACAGAGCTCCTACACAATGCAATGCCTAATGCAGATGTACATGGTAAGGTGAGAGCCATATTGCTTGGACTCCTCTCCCACCTGCACCAGTTAAATACAGTCTAATTCCACTGCCTGCAACAAGGCTATAGCTCATTTACATCTGTGTAGATCAGGTGGCCACTAGGTCTTGTTTAAGACTCTGTCTAAACCAGAACCCAACAAAATTCCTTCTGAAAAATCCTCAGAAAAGCACAAGTCTTGTCTCCAAGTTTCTCAATGAAAACAGCGCGGTCCAAACACTGGGTCCCTGCAGCCTCAGGAGCCCAAACCACATCAGAGGGATCTACGGCAAAAGTCGGCAAAAGGAAGGGATGAGTCACGTCTCCAGTGAGGGCCGTGGGAAGGGAACCCCTGCGGCCCCTCTGGGCAAGGGAGAACCTGTGAGCCTTGCGGCACCGTCCCCCTCCCACCTACCCCCCCTCGGACCAGCTAATCGGGGGAGTCACAGGGACCTGACAGGTGACAAATAGGATTGTTTACCTGGCAGGAGCAGGGACAGAGAGAAGCCAAGGGCAGGGAGCATCAAAGGAAAGGGAGGGGAAGGAGAGGGATGCATAGGGAGGATATGCAGGGAAACACCAGGCCTGCCTTTGGGAGTCACAAAAGAGATGGGTTAGGAGGAAAAAAGGGATGCGCGGGGAAGAAGAAAAAGAAATTGGAGGGTGCAGCTGTGTTTGGATGGTGCGTGGGAGCTGCAGTGAGGGAAGACAGAAGCCCAAGGGGAGCAGAGGCAGGAGAAGGTGTTTCTGGGGTACAAGAGCGAAGGAGGCATGCAGCAGAGCTGGGACACGCAGGGTGCCTGCCCCGGCAGGGCAGGGATGCATGGAGCAGAGCATTACAGGGGCAGCAGGTTAAGCAGCACATACAGGACCCCAGAGCAGGAGAGCTGGGAGGGAAGGAGAGGGCAGCAGCATGGTGCAGACTGCGCCGCAGCGAGGAGTGGCAGCAGACAGTGCAGCACGGGGATGTCGCGCAGGTATGGGGTAGAGCGGGACGGGAGCTGCTCTGTCGGCAGGAAACTGACCACAGCTGCCTCAGGAAAGGGCTGGCGTGAGCTCCCCGTGGGGCAGAAGCTGCAGCGGGCATGGGGAAAGGCAGTGCCATTGCAGCACAGGCTGCACAGGGACAGAGGCGTAACGCAGGGGGTAAAGCGGAGCATCCCTGGGGCAGGAGGTGGTGGTGGCTGTGGGGTGTCAGAGAGGGAGAAGGTATGTGGCCAAGGGGCCAGCAAATACAGCTGCTCCACAAAGACAGGCCCAGCACACTGCCCAGGGATTTACCTGGCAGAGAAGAGCAAACCAGTAGCCCAAGCTAGTGCCGGGTGGGGGCTGGAGCAGGGGACAGCCATGGGGGAAACAGGGCTGCATGTGGGGGTGAGGAGGCCAGCACGCAGTGGGGCAGAGCGGGGAGACGGCTGGACCGTCTGAGGCCTGATCCAGCCTGGCAGCGTCACAGGGCTGGGGGCTGAGGCAGAGCAGGGCTGGGCAGGGGAAGGGGCTGGGATGGCCGGGGGGGCTTCGAGGGGCTGAGCTGAGGCCAGGAAAGGCTGCGGGGGGGAGGGTGGGCAGGGGGCTGCGAGGGGCCAGGGGGTCT